GCAGTGATGGTGCAAAGATGCCAAGGAGTCAGGGGACTAGGTGAAGTTAAGGAGCCGCTTCAGCTCAAGATACTGAAGTATGGAGAATCAGTGCAAACCAGGCTCAGAGAATTGATTGCTGCAATCAAACCAGGGATCCAGGATCCTGCTGCTGAGAGGTCAGTAGGTCTGTGGGTCTCCTTCAAGGTCCAGCACCTCAAAGGCTGAGGTGCTGGTAAAAAGTAGTCTGATCAGGGCAATCCTTTAATACCTGTGGATTAAGTTGACAACCCATCTTGCTAATAAATACTGATTTCAGGGCTATGTAAAACACTCCACAAACACAAACAGAGTAACAAAAATAAGCCTCCTTATGGGTTTTTTTCTTTAAAATTCTAAAAAAATTGATTGTGGATACTTTTTAAACGCATTTGGCATCAATCTGATGAACTGATCAGCACCAAATTCGTGGCTGACTGCAATGAAGTGACCAGTGACTTTGCCTGTCAAGAATCATAAAAATCAGGGAACAAAGACTAATATACCTCATTTAATCAACAGAACACCTTTGTGCTATAAGTATTTTGGAGGCTAGACTAAAGTCACCTCAGATTCAGGGATGAATCAAGGTTTTGTGATGGATGTCTGCAAGCCTGGAGCAGACACAATAATAGGCAAATTGCTGTTGGCAGCAATTGAGGAGTGCGTCAATGAGTGACAGAATAGATTGGGCACAACTGATGAAGTGATTTAACCCACTGAATGCCAAGCCTGATCAGGACCCATCAAGGGGGATGTCTGGCCAGGAATGGCAAACTGGCAATCTGTTTGCATGGCGTTGCAAGTCCAGCGGCCTCACTTCCTGCCTTTCTCTCGTATTTATCCCTAACACGACAGCATTCCAGCAAGACAATGCTGATCCAATGTGACAGTCACGCACAACTAATTAGACCCCACTGAATACCTGTGAGCATGATGGTGCATGGTTTCTAGAGGCCAGGGACCAAGGACCTTGGGGTTCTCATCTCCAAGGAAACTGGGAATAACGCACGTTTGCATTACCCACAATCCACCGTGGAAAGAGCCAAGCGTGCAGAGTATGAAGGGCAAGAACAGAGGAAGGTGAAGAGAGGAGAGAGGTGCAAGAGAAACAGCAGAAAGACGAGAGGAGGAAGGAGGGAATGAAGTCTGTAAGTGCAAGGCTGCGGGTTCAAGTTCCAGGCTCTACGAAAATACCCAGCTGTATAAACATCGGCGTTGCTGACAAAACCCATCAGCCGAATGGAAAATAATTAATAACGGTCTCGTGTTCTAGTCAAACATGAGAATGTCAGTAGTTTAGATTACATGAGGAAGACCCTAGAAATGATGAGTTGTAATAATACAGATGAGGTCTTAAGGTAAGAAGGCTGTAACATGCCCATTTTTAAAACTTTCACACCCTGGAGACTGTGTGACCTGCTCATTGTTAAAGGTTTAACGGAAGTCACGACAGAATTGTCCCGCGAAGCTGCAAGGTCTGAACAAACCCAGCCTGGCTCAAGGATGCAGGGTTTGTGCCACTGCTCTGGGACGGTAAACGATACAAAACAAGACGGGAACAAAACAAACACCATTAGAAAAACAAAGACAGAAACCATAACTGGCTAAGGTCCATGAATTCCTTTTCCAGCCTTTTCAAGGCTTCAGTTAAAAAACAAGGCAGTCCTACTTCAGCTGAAGTGAATCCCCCCCTCCCCACACACACCCGTTTTAAACCAGTTCAATTCTCTTGTTCATTTGTTGAGTCTTCTGTACATTTATAAATAAAATCCACAGTTTTGGGGATGTCCATAAAAAAAATAGGTCCCAGGATTTGCCAAGAGTCTCTTAGGATTTCGAATGACAACAAAGACCCTGTTCATTCAAGTTGCGATCAAATTTTCTGTCCATTTAACTGATCTGCGTTTTTCTATTTCTTAGTCTGTACTCTATCTGATGTTTGTGATGCAGGTCTAGAGACGTTCTTGGCCTCTTCGACGTCCTGTTAAATACTGCGACATTAAAAAGTCCAAACAAATGACTTGATAAATGGGTCATTTCCTTGCGGAAGGAACGGAGAAGTTACAGTACAGAGGTCGGTTGAGTCCAGCCGGCGCGTGCTGGGTCAGTCTGGAGGGAACAGGGCAGAGATACAAAGAGGAGCAGGCTCAGATCTCTGAACACAGCCCGCATGAACAGTCCCCACAAAACTCCTGTCCGCTGTGAGGGCAGTCTGTACTTTAGCGCGGGCTGGAGAAGGGATGTCACTGCTGGGGAAGTTTGCTCTCTGGCTGGGCCTGGGGGTCTTGTTGTACTTCTGGAGTGGTGATCCCAGTGTGCAGCTTCTCCAGCGAAAGCTTCATCTGTCACAGGCAAAACACAACAGGGGACCAATAAAGAACTTAAATCACAGCAACACCTGGAGCTGCGTAATGCTGGGTTTTTCTTCATAGCTCACCAACACACTGCTAAGAAACAAGCTGTTGAGTGTGTCCGCAACCTAGGTTTAAGGACACCCTCTCAGGTTTGAGTTGGGTACAGCCGGTGCAATGAATTATGGGTATGAATATTAATTAGGAACAAGTAAAGGCTTAGACCAGGCTAAGAAGAGGAGAAAAGAGACACGACGTTTCAGGTGTGGAGCCTCCTTCTTCCGGCTTCACCATTTAAATGTTTTTCTTCTCTTCTCAGCATGGAATAATCCTTTACTTGTTCCTTTGCAGCCTACGCATGCTGACGCTGCTACCCAATTGAATATTAATTAGCTGTTGCTTTTTCCATTCTTCCAGTACAATGGTAGCCATTCTATCTTTTCAACTTAGTGATGATCACTTTTCCACTTTAGGAAAGCTTAGTTTTCTACTAACGTGGAGCTCTGTGCTTTTTGTTTCATGCTTTAAATGCCCACGGATTTTCAAAGATTGGTTTCACCACCGCTGTTTTTGTAGCCCATGTTTTACGAATATCAGAGAAACGTTATTGTTTGCTGTCAATGGTTGAAGCCACACCTTCAGGTGTTTTGTCACAAAAGTAGCCAGTTTCCTTTACCATTACATGGCAAGTAAACCTGACTCACTCGTCCAGTCTAGGACAACTAAGAGTCTTGACAGGCATTCTGGATTTTATGAGCCTATAGCTGAAGGAGTTGAATGCAAGTTTAATTGGCAGCAATTTCCCAAAACATAGCCAAATTCCCGAGCATGTATCCCATCTCTATTGAGCTAATCAGCCAACTTTCAGTTTGTGCTTAATTTTACAGCCAGTGATGTGATCAAGCTAGCCATTCTGCATTGCTACTTAGGAACTGGTACATTTTTCTAGTCCTGAATTGATTGCCGAGCCTTAACCTTTTAGATAAGACTCATCAATTTTAGGCCTCGCCAGGCAACAGTAACAGTAGCTCCCGGACAGTACGGACTCTTTACCTCGTCCAGCAGCCCCACTGACGCCTTCAGGATCTGCTGCCATTTCTGAATCTCCGCCTGGTGGAACTGCTTCTGCAGCTCCAGGATCTGAGCCCACTCCGAGGCCGTCTGAGGGAGCTTGCTACTGAGGGAGAGAAAGAGACAGCCGAGCGCTGAGCCACCCTGCCCAGATTCCTTGGCCCCGCTCTCCAACGCAGACAGCCCTGGTTGCTCTCGGCGCAGTTTACCGCGAACGTTCGGGAGGGATGTCAGGGGTCAAGTTCACGTGAAGTTTCGGGAAGGATGACAGCAGCCAAGTTCGGCAACATTCGTTCTTCACACCACTTTTTCCATTTAGAAAAACATGATCAATACCACAGATAAGCACTGGATAACTCCCCACTTCTAAGGCCAGGGGGGCTAAGCCAAATCTTAGTCTGGCTAAGCACTATTTTTTTAATTAAAAGTCGACAAATCATTTTAAGCCCTGGACAGGACTGCGAGTGTTAAGGCACGGTACGGTTCGGTCTGGAGTGGCATCGTCCGTTACCTGTCAGTCAGGGCGTAGGAATGCCAGGTCTCTAGCGTGTGCGCTGCCCTCTCCAGAGACCACAGCTTGTAGAACAGCAGCATGTTCAGGGCCACCAGCACCACCAGACTGAGGGCCAAGAGGCGGACACAGAGAGAGAGAATCAGCCTATCATCCTGCTGTGGTGTTGTTTGCTTATTGTGTCGGTGTCACACTACACGACTTTTTCTAGGATTTTCAGTTGTAGCCTTCATTTAAATAACCACAAGAAAATCACGGCGAGCTGTAGAGAGTCGCAGCCTGTTACCGTCAGTTGTGTTGTGTGACACCCCCAGCGACTGTCATAGCGCTCTTAACAGCCCCTAAAACTCTCTGTGACTCGCTACGACAAAATCAAACAGGTAGGGGCGGGCTCTTGTGTCTGCGACGGTCACCAGCCAACGAGGGCTCAGCCGGAAGTACAATGCAGGGAATGCAGGGAAAGAAGGAAAGCGAGTGTTTTGGACTGTGGAAATGGAGGAGAGGCTCGTCGAACTGGACGGAAAAGGCAGCGAGATTCAGCAGCTGCAGTCGTTAAATTTGCCATGCTCTCCGACGCGAAGTCGTGTCGAGTCATGTACTGTAGTGTGACGCCTGCTTTACTGAAGAACCCACCCACCACCATATCCAAACAAAGAGGGGGGGGGATGAGGAGAGAAAGATGAATACAAAGAGAAAGAGATAAGACAGATGTCTTTAAATGTATTCCAAAGAATGGTTTTAAATGAGAGGAAGCCATTTGGCCCATCTAGCCTGTTTGATAGTAGCTCATTGATCCCTGGATCTCATCCAGCCCTTTCAACTGAGCAAGGGTATTGCTCCCTACTTCCACCACCCTTTGTGTAAAGAAGTCCAATTGCACTTTCACAGCTTTCCTGGGAATTGGCAATTTTTCACCTTTTAAACCTGTACTGAAAGGATCATTCCTTTGATAGAGCAACCAGAGCAGAAATGTCTCTTGGTGGACAACTGAACAGCAGCAGACGCGAGATGGCAATTTGTGAGTGTTGGGAGAGCAGGTGGGGTGTACAGTACCTGACACAGATCCTAGTGAGGAGCAGAAAGAGGAAGAGAGGGAAAGAGAAACATGAAACGCTGAGAACAGCCTCTCGAAACAGAAACACATTATCAGTGGGGCTGGGGCATGTTGTAATGGGAGAAATTCACACACATTTGTCCCGAAAGGACAGGGTGATTGTTTGCGTGACTGATTACCCAATTGCTCTTGCTAACAAAAGGGATAGCAAGACAGAAAGGGCAACCCACTATCTTGCTCTCATGTAAAGTCGCTGGCCAAAAATATTCTAAACTCTCTAAACTCCCTCCCCAAAATGGTTCCGAAATATGAGCAATCCAGTCCCCAAATTTTGGACTGCCTTCAACTGAAGCTGTGATAAAGATAATGATGACTCGTACTGAACTACACTTCCCAATTATTTCAACAGCACAGAGATCTGGCTGTTCTCGCAGCAAGAGAGATTTATATATTAGATGCGTGCGTGGAATTTGCCCACTGAATGCAATTCAGTCTACAGTAGCTACTGTAGCTCACAAATTGCAGCCCTGAACTGCAAGCACAGAAATGAATGCAATCAGTTAATATTTCGGCTTAGAAAGGATGAATGCATTAAAAAAAAATTAATAACCCTTCTTTCATGATCTCAAAGAGAAACTGTTAAGTTTTCCACTGTCTGTCTAAAGATAGTTTCAAACCTCATATTTGCAAATACTCTGCAGAAAGCAGTACAGACGGGCACACTCACATGAAGCTGACGATAAGAAGGATAGTGGAGAGGTTTCCTCCTTGCGATCGCTCTCCCAGTTTAAAATACTGAGCCCCTGAGAGAGAGAGTGAGACAGGATCAGCATATCAAACAACAGAGTGATCTTTTAATGTCACTCATCTGCTAAATCTCTAAAAGTCATGTGAAGCAAGAAACGCACTGTGCCCTTTTTTGAAATGAGACCCACAACTGAAATGATTCATAAAGCATTTTACTCGTTTCTGTCAACTAAATCGAGTCCTTAAAGTTAACATCTGTGCCGCTGCATCTCTGCTATAATCACGAGGGATCTTTTCCACTGCACTCACCTTGCATGTTTGAAAGATCCCCTATTGCAAATTCAAGGAAAACCTGCTGCACGAGTCTTGAGAGACCAGGTGTTTTTGGGGCTTTCAGCGGATGAAACCAAAACTAAAAGCCTTGCAATACCCCTGTTGACCAGTAGAGGTCACAGTTTCACAACAGCGAGGCACTAGCTCCGCCAGCTAGAGGTTAACGCACTGACTAACAAGTCCAATCAACGCCGAGTCAATACTTTAAGTCATAATCAAAGCTCCACACAGGAGATATGTGACAGAAACTGAGTGGCTTTCAACTTGTTTACACCAAAGCTGCTTCACAATACAGAGAATGGAAGAAACGCAAGTCAGTAAAGCTTTATTTTGTGCACATAATGACAACTTTAACATCAAATGCCGACGTCATGCTTTAAAAATTGTCAAATGAGAAGATCCCGAGTAAATCAATACAAATCCTAGGAAAAGAAGAACCCTTCATTCACGTGAGAGCTAGGGGGTTGCTGGAAAGTCAGTGGTTGGAGGAAACATTTTGCGGTCAAATACTGGTTCCACTCCTCCTCCTCCCGTGCGCCCCCCCGTGCCCCCCTGTGCGCCTACCTGTGCCGCCTCTGGCCGGCCGCTCCTTCTCCGAGAGAGGACCCGCCGCTCCCGTCGCGTCGTGCAGCGCCCCCCGGCGGCCGGAGGCGCGCTTGCGCCGGCGCAGCCCGGGCCCCTTGCAGGGGGCCTCCCCGACCACCACGTCGGTCTGCAGCAGGGCCTCCAGCTTCGACACCTCCATTTCTGACAGAGACACCCCACAACGTCAGCGCGCGCTTTGACCGCCGCTCGGCCACTCCCTCATTCACCCGGCTCGATCCCCCCAGGTGAAACATCCGCAGCACGACCTGTGGAGGATTTCCTGGAGGCCGAAATCCCCATCTGTGAGGTGACTGGGTGCTCTTTGTCTAGACACCTGTGTCGAGTCCATCGCCTCACCTATTCAGAGTCTCTAACACACAGCTACTCATCACGTATGATGAAAGACACCATTCAAAACAAGTCTGCAGCCCGGCTGTAATAACAGATGTAGCCAGTCCTGTTAATAATGCAACAGTCATGTCTGTCACTCCAACATAACGAGTCATTCCAGATGATGGCTTCTGTAATACAACTGCAGTCACCATTATTATCATACAGTCAGCTCCCTTACCCCTGGCCTACGATACTACAGCAAGCTTGACACAGTCAGCTCCCTCACCTCTGGCCAATAACACACAGAAGCAAACAGTCAATCCTGTTACTTTAAAGGAACAACAACCCTCGAACAGGCTGGCACCTCCTTGAGGGACACAGCAGTTATACTGTATGCCCTATACTGCCAAGACAGGCTCCAGATTGGTGCAACCCTCACCAGGATTATAGGCTTCCTGGTAATGGAAGGATTATCATTAAACACATCCTGCCAGTAACAATCATCTAAACCCCTCCAGGTCTTGCTTTCAGGGTTACCTAGGTGTCTGTAGTACTCCTCGATGCCACTCCAGGTGTTTTTCTCGATCAGGGCCTTCACCAGGCTCCAGGGCTGTTTCCGGTAACGGATGTCCGAGGAAACCCTGAGGCAAAGAGGAGACGTTCCCCGCTGGTATTACTACGCTCCGGAGAAGCGGCCGGGCCTGTACCCCAGTCGGCAGAGCTGTGCCGCGGCCACGCTCGCTCACCTGAGCCGGCACTTGTTCCGCGCCACGCTGGTGAGGCAGTAGCGGTGCACGGTGTAAAAGTAGTCTTGGTAGGGGATGCCGTGTGTGATGACCTCAGAGTCCACCACATAGCATTCATGTTTCTGGCTGCTTTTGTACAGGGTCTGTGGGAGGAGAGAGGACACACAGTTGCTATGGGGCATAACTAGGGTTCAACAGCCAGAAAAAAAGCTTCCACAGACAGGACACCAAGGGACTGTACATACAAGATGGAAACTTCTACTGTATTCCTGATCAACTTCTATACTGTACTTTAACCCCCAATTATGCCAGTAAAAACAAGCAGTATGTGCTCCATTACAGCACTTCAGAACGGACATTTATTTTCCTGCAGAGCCCTGGTTCCAGAAAGCTTCACAAGTCAGCAATCAAGCAGTCAACTTCCGTTCCAATTCTTTAATCTGCCATGGTATCTTTAAGAGAGACGTTTGGAGAGCTTTGAACCAAATACATGATTCCCCAGTTCCCAGCCATCCAGGGATAGAGGGGTCCACACATGTCATCTCTTAGATGTCTTTGAGATGTTAAACCCAATAGACTCCTTCCCTCCCTTCAGGCCATCCCTGGACTGTAGGGTCCAATCCACAGGAAGACTCCTAATGGTAAAGAAACAGAGTGGTTCCCTCTTGGGGCAAATGCTGTCTACATCCACACCCCCTGCAGTGTGACTGGTCTCTGACCTGTGTCTCCACCACAGGGGCGGTCTTTGGTCCCAGTGGGTTGTTGATGGCAATGGTGTAGGTCAGCACTCTGGTGGAGTTCCCACTGTTCTCTTGGTGCCAGTCATTCATGGTCAGATCTGAGCGAGAGGATTGGAAGGGGAGGCAGAGAGAGAAAAGTGATTGTTAAGAAACATCAATGTTATTTTTTTAAAACTGGACAACCATAAAACAGCCAGATTCAACACAGATTCCCAAAGTGCATTTTTAAGCCCCTCCACCAGGATGAAAAGAGAGTGATATTCTGTTAATTCTAAATGTAATTTCTCTCAATTCCATTGAATACCAAGAGTCAAACCCTCCTCACTTCAAGCACAACAGCTGCTCGTGGGACATGAGCTCAGACAAATACAGTTGGGAATCCTCATGGGAATTTTAATTGGACTTTACCTTAAATGAGGCTAGTTCCAGATGCAGATCATAATGAAAAGTCAAAAGCAGTGCCAGTAGTGTTATTGTAAGATTTTCCAGGACTACAACTAGAACAGTGCAAGCCCTATATAAAGATTATTACATTATGGGTGATGGGTATGGAAATGAATAAAAAAGTAGTTTTATTTCAGACATCTCTATACATATACATATATATGAAATAAAACTACTAACTGCACCCATGTGAGAGTGCAATATTACGCCCAATCAGCATTGTAATAAAATGACACCCATTGTGTCTATTTACAACAATTCCATGCTTTTTGGCGGCCTCTAGTGGCCGGTCCACTGCCACTACAATCCCTTTGTTTGCCAGCTTGCTACACATATTTTGGAAAGCTTTTCAATGCTATGTAAACAAGATTAACAAGATATTATCCACAAACCTAGTCATATTCTGAATATGCCAAATTCACCAAATACCCTCCGAGGATTCAAAATTTTCCCAGTGAAAGAAACATCATGTAAAACGTGAGATATTTTTGAAACAGTTATACCTATACGTGAAGATTTTGAATTGTCAAGTATTCAGAATACTGCATGCAAAGCTATTGAATGATGGGTAGACTTAAATGGGCTTGTTAAATTCTACCCTTCCCACAAGAGTACCATTCATACAGCTTTCTTTTTATAGGCCGTGACATTTCTGGCAAACAGCGTTTGCTGTGCAAGTTTAACCAGTGTGAAAGGGGGTCGTCCCCGGGTCCTCACCCGTGAACCGGCGCTGCTCAAAGAGGTCCTGCAGGAAGTGCGAGTCGGCGAACAGCAGCTCGTACAGTCGGTCCACCCCGATCCGGTACACCGCGTTGATGTGAAGACGCCCATTCAGGTCGGCGCAGAAAGCCTCCACCTCACCTGAACACACACACACAGGCCATTATTGTCCGCTCCCACTCCCACTCCCACTGGGCCCTGGTACAGTGCCCTGGCGGAGGCCGGAGCATTGTACAGCCGCAATCAAAAGAACTCATCCCCTTGGACTTCTTTCCATTGTATTGTACTGCAATGTTAGAATCCTAACAAGAACAACTCCACCACCACCAGTGTGCAGCCCCACCTGGGCGATGTGATGGCAGCCGGAGTTCGCCAGTGCACTCCCCCACACACCAGCTATCAGTGGGGAAGAGAACAGAGTGATGAAGCCAGTTCATAAACGGGGAATGTTATAATAAATCAAGAAACCTTCTTAACTTGTAAATCCAAATTGACAGATATTGCAGTGGTTGTTTCTCCTCTGTCTGGTGCTTGGAGTTGTGCCAAATATATACTGTACAGTGCCAAGTTCAATGCTGCACATTTGTATTTGTTAGAAAAGAAAAAAATGATACATATGGCCAAAGGGTAAAATTAATAATGGCAAAACACCATTAAAGTAATTGGATAACAGCATTTCTCAATTCATTAAAATGTATTATTTATAGATTATTATCTATTACCACATTATTATTTGATTAGCACAAAAGATTAAGATGCATAAACATTTTTAACTCAGCCTTTGTACAGTAGCAAAGTATGATACTAGATAATACTCCCTATCTGAACTGGAACACTTAGTCTTTACATCAAACAAGACAATAACAAGTTCTACCAACTGACCAACACTTAGACCTGACCACAAAAATGGAAAGTGAAGAAGACAGGAGAGGTGCCAAAAGAGAAACACAAAGGACATTAAGATGGATGGACACACTGCCCAATTTAACCTACTCTCTTCCTGCGTGTCAGAGGAGTTGCTGAGGTCGGTGGGCAAGTCGTCGTCATTGGCGATGTCCAATGAGGAGAGGTTACTCAGAGGGCCCTCCCCCTTGACCCTCTCGGACAGGGGTGTCAGCGTATGATTGGACGAGACGTCCTGCTGGCTGTCAGAGCGAGGTTCCGAGTCATCCAGGAACTGAGAGCAAAACAGAGAGGGACCGAGTCTCAAAATTTCAGGAAAGCAAATGAGAGAGTTAAAAAAGCAGCAGAAAGCTACGGAATCAGTAGTGAATGCTTCAAGATATTTATCTTCAAGTGCAGAACAGATTTATCCCAAGGTTGAGGAAATCAAATACTAGAAAGCTGTGGCCCAAATAGTTTAATAAAAATAAAGAGTCAAGGGATTTTCTAAAAAGATTAAGAAAATAAGATCCAATTAAAAAAAAAAGCTCAGGTAAACTAGATGTCAGAAGAGAGACTTTTTAATATTTCAGAACTTTTCTTTCAGAATTATAGCAGCAAAAGGACCATAAATAACGCTGTGAAGTGTTTCAGAAACATGAAAGGGAAATGGCTCATTCACTGACTTGGAACCCAAGAAAACAAAAGTATGCATCGCCATAAGACAAACATCTCTTAATGCCTGGTGATATTCTTCCAACTGTAACAGAAAATTTGCTAACATAGCAGCCATCCATATAAAGACTTACAGAACCCAACCAAGTAATTACAGAGGATAATTCTTACTTCTGGTAGTTCTGAACTATATTATTACATAGAATTTACTGAAAATGTATTTCTTTGGATTGAGAAAAGGATATTGTATAGACGACAGTACTCAAATTATACAGTATGTGCAAAGTGGGGTGATGTCATCAGTGGAGTAAAACAGGGAACTGTGCTTATTAGGACCTCAGCTCGTCCCAATCAACACCACAGATTCGAGTGAACTGCAGACAATGCTGAAATGGGAGTAACAGTGTACACTGTAGAAGATGCAAAAGAAATGGAAAATCAAAGACAAAACTGAAGGCTGTGGAGCGCAGGAATAATTTCTGAACAACTGCACGGGACAACCAGGAGATTTTTCCAGCTCTTGCGTGTCTTCGGAAAGACGTGGGGGGGCTGCGCACTCACCGAAGGCCCGTCGCTGCTCTCCAGCGACGTGTGCAGGCGGCTGGACCCCTGCCGGTCCACCAGGGGGCTGGGATCCAGCTTGAGGTCCACGCTGTTCCGAGACGGAGGGTCGCTGCCGGTCAGCTCCAAGAGCTCGGACACCACCTCCTCCCCCGGACTGGACAGGGCAGAGAGAGGGCATCTGAAATTTAAATTCCAACTCTGACCCCAAGCTAGGTGGTAAGATTGCAGGAGACGTCAACTGTATTGATGCTTTATCTGAATTTGGCTGCATAATAGCATCACATTGTAACAAGCACAAATGCACACGTTATATCATTTTCACACATCCCAGTAAAAGCACTGTATGCAATGATAATGTCAGCGTAGCAGTTATGAAGGGGTTATAAAGCCATTAATATCCAAATAAAGCATGAACACAATTGGTGCACCCTGTCTGTACAGCATTTTCGGCCACATGACATTTTCCTCCCCCAGCTTGGAAACTGAGCAACAGAGAAAATGAAAAATTTGGTCCAAATCCTGAGCGAGACCACAGGAGATGCGAATTCAGTTTTGCAGAAGTGCACTGTGTGGTCAGCCGATGGTCACTATTCACATATATTCACCAATATTGGATACTGTTATGGTCACATGCATTTGTGTTCTGCATTTCTTTAAGGTGCCTGCCCCCTTCTCCCAATGCAGCTGCTGTTGGCAAAGGCCAGCTCACTCTAAAGGTGTCCTGTTATTCCAAGGGGCTGCTCATTCGAGAACTAAGAAGAGCCAACATGGTAAGACTGTCTAGATTTTTCCCCAGAATGCTTCTGCACCTCGCAGGAGAAACATGAGTCTTCTACATCAGGCCCTGCAGCACTGAAACGAATGTGTCCGCTTCCTTCAGAAATCCCGGCTGAGGTATGGCCCCCGGGCCCGAGGCAGGAGGGACGGCCAACCCATCGGAAACCCGACTGCAAGATGAACTCACATGAGCCCGTTGATGTGCTCAGTGGGAGACACGTAGTCGTCGTCTTCGCTGGTCAGGCCCAGCTCCGTGCCATAACACTGGTGCACGATGTGCCATAACTCCTTCGGGGACAGAGGCTGAGGGAGAGAGTGGGGGAGAGACACTTAGCCACTCACAGGCACACATCGCTGGCTAGATGGTGGTTGCAGTTGTGTCATCCCTAAAGCCACACGTGATCAATCTGGTTGTCTGCAATCATCTACTCTTTGCCAGTGTTCTAGCAGTTGAGGCCCGATTCGCCACTGGAACACAGATATCACCCATTTGCGTCTGTATGACACACGGGTCGAAGCGAACACACACAGCGGGCTGTCCGGACGCACGTGGACGTACCTTGTCCAAGAGGGCGTTCTGCCACAACCTGAAGATCAGCATGTAGCTGCGGTCCCGGGCTCCAAACGAGGTGAAAAAGTGCTGGAGAAACACAAGCAATGCAGGTGAAGGATCTCAACCATCAGATCCAAACACACTCGCCTTCTGCAACCTCCCAGAACAAAAGCAGGGCAGGCTCTTCGAATCTGGGGATGAATAAAACTGTGCTGCGGGAACGAAACCTTCACGTTTGAAGCCGTTAACAACAGGGCGGCTCGAGAGAGCCAGCTCCACCTAGAGATCAACTTACACTTCAGTTCTTTCAGGCAGACTCAGCTGTTCGATCGGGTGTTTGCAGTGGGATCTACAAATGAGAATCAGGCTCCAGAAGGGTATGAGAAAGCTCATAGCAGCGCAGACACATAGAGAGTTTGTTTGAGAGAGTTTGTTTTACTCTCTCTCTCTCTCTTTCAGTAATGTCTAATCGGACATCGTACATTTATTCTCAGGTATCTGCATCTCAAGAAGGGCTGAACAATTCTAATCCTTGAGTGGACTCTTCAGATAAGAGCCGAAGGCTATTCAGATTATCGTTCCAAATTATCCTTAAGTTCCCTCACTCAGCAAAAACAAAACATGCTTACATTGCTCACAATTGAATTGTTTCAGGTTCTTTAGACATTAGAAATATTAAACGTAACAGACCGGAGCTCTCCAAGGATAGAGATGGAGATCACTGTACTAAAATGTTGCACGCACGGTTCTGTGATGGTTATCTCTGCCTCTCGCCATCTACTAGGTCCTGGGTGTCCATTTGTGCAAAAGGACATTTTCCTCCCATCTCTCAAATACAGGCAGGACAGCTTTGACTGGCTACGTCCATCTGTCCCTGATCCCTGCAAGGGAGGAAGCTGGGCAGCCTGTTTTCTTAATCCTGAGAAGAGTGGCCCGTTTGTGACCAGGTCTAAAATAACCCAGCTGTCAGTTATTCCGATCACGATACCTGACAGCTGGCCTCCTGCCTACCCAAATCAGGGCTGCCTCATAGCTGGGGTGGTGAATACTGAGCTCTGCGGGAGAGCTCCTGAGCCGAAGGCCCAGGCTGCTGAACCTGACAGCTGAGGGCGTAAGAGAGAAAGACCGGCTCAAACAGAGGCTGGGCGACGAGCTGAAGCACCCTAAAAGATAGGAGGGGAGACAGCCGAGAGGTTGAAGTTGTTTCATTTGCTACGTGCACATTGTGAGCGACTTTTCGAAACCAGACTTATCTGTTAAAGGAATTTTGGGCGCAACTGTCGCTGCAACTTCGCCTACTGCTCTAGGTGTGTGTTCACTGCCCAGCCTGTACCACGGCTGCCCCACACAGCCACACGCCTTCTCCCGGCCCTCTGCCTTACCTTGTCAGCTTCCGTGCTGATCTGAATGGCGTTGGGAATGAGCTTGGCCGTCTTCTCCTTCGTCAGGCTCGTGATATCCTTCAGCTGAATAGTGATCTGAGACAGAGAGAGCCACGG